AGTGTTTCACCAAGTAGGGTGCCATGCCATTATGATTTGTCCTGGAGTCTCTTTTTGATATCTTTTGCACCCAATACCATTTTCCTGCATCTCTCTCTAGTCTGGTTTCATCAGTCAGTACTTTTTATGCAAATTCTCAGGAGTGTAGCATGCACTTCAGGCTGAAAATTCACAAAGCAGTGTGGTGATTTACAAGAAAGGCTGCTTGAAAATCCATAATCTCCCACTCTGTTATCAGCCGTAAAAGATTCTCAGTTTCAAACTGCAAAAAAAGTGTAAAAGCTCCACACTGTGGAAAACCTAAGTATAAAATTTAACATTGTTGCTTAATCCTGAGAACCTGAATGTGAAATCTTTGTGCCATGCAGTGAGACCCTAAAAAAAGTCTAGTCCTCCCTCTGCTGTGAGGGAGCGTTCAGTGCGGAAGGCATAAACACATACAAGATGTCCTTTGACACAACAGAAAAGGGGTTACCATGCTATAGTAAAACCAATGATTGTTATGCAGGTGAAATCCTGCTCATCGGGAGTAAAACCCTATTGTCTACCAAAAAAAAAAAAAAGATTGCAGAGCCTCTTACAAGCAAAGGTAAGTAGAAAAGATACGCAGTCTGATGTTTGTCAGCTTCTGCAGTTAAAAATTCTTGTATAAGCATTAGCCTAATCAGTGCCAAATGATTTTTGCTGTGCTTCTCTCTACTTCATTCTGCCASATTTAAGCAAATGGTGTTGGCTTGGCTTGCTCTGGCTTTTTATTGAAAGTATTTAATTCTGGCAGCAGATTTTGTCATATGGAGAAGCCACTGTTACACTGCTGCTATCAGATATCTTGGGGTGGAATTTAGATACCTAAGCATAGACATTTAGTGCCAATTTAGATGCTGTGCTGTATCTTGCCCAGTCTCCCACTGCTCTTGGAATGATGACAGTAGAAGATACAGATGTGCTGGGGCGGCAAATGACAGAGCTGCAATCTAGAGGGATTTGCATAAACCATTGGCCRATAAGAAAACCTCCTGAAGCTCAGCAAGGAGAATCACAAACATCTGCTCTTTAAGTGTAATAATCACATGTACTGATACAGCCGGGGAACAGAGTGGCTGAGTGACAGCCTTGCTGAAAAGGCCGTGGGAGTTATGAAGGACCCTAGGCTGAATATAAGCCTGAATATGAGCCTGAATATGAGTATGAATACTTTCTTACTATGAGTGAAGGAAATTGCAAGCTGGGATTGATTAGGAAGAGCATAGCTGGCTGATCAAGGGAAGTTGTTATCTTTCTCTGCTTGGCACTAGTGAGGACAAACCTATATTAATATTTTGGGATTCCAGATGTGGAGAAACTGGGRAGTTTGCATAGAAGGCTCTCAAAGATGGTTCTAGGCCTACAGCACATGATATATGTAGAGATCATAGAATCATACAATCATAGAATCATAGAATGCTTAAGGTTGGAAGGGACCTCAGAGGTCATCTAGTCCAACCCCCCTGCTCACGCAGGGTCACCTAGAGCACGTGGCACAGAGCTTCGTCCAAGCGGGTTTTAAAGATCTCCAAAGAAGGAGACTACACAACCTCTCTGGGCAGCCTGTTCCAGGGCTCTGTCACCCTCACTGTCAAGAAGTGTTTCTTTAAGTTCCTGTGGAACTTTTGGTATCTCAGCTTGTGGCCGTTTCCTCTGGTCCTATCACTGGCCACCACTGAAAAGGGGCCGGCCCCCTCCTCCTCCCTCCCTCCCTTGAGGTGTTTATACACACTGATCAGGTCCCCCCTCAGCCTTCTCTTCTCCAGGCTGAACAGACCCAGCTCCYTCAGCCTTTGCTCATATGGCAGATGTTMCAGGCCCCTGATCATCCTSGTAGCCCTGCRCTGGACTCTCTCCAGCAGCTCCACATCCCTCTTGTCCTGGGGAGCCCAGAACTGGACACAGTACGCCAGATGTGGCCTCACCAGGGCTGTGCACAGCGGGGGACGATCACCTCTCTCGACCTGCTGGAGACGCTCTTCTTAATGCACCCCAGGATCCCATTGACCTTCTTGACCACCAYGGCCCACTGCTGCCTCATGGTYATCTTGTCATCCACCATGACACCCAGGTCCCTCTCTGCGGGRCTGCTCTCCAGCAGGTCCACCCCTAATCTGTGCTGGTGTCCGGGGTTATTCCTCCCCACGTGCAGGACCCTGCACTTGCCCTTATTGAACTTCATGAGATTTCTAACTGCCCAGTTGTCCAGTCTGTCCAGGTCCCTCTGGATGGCAGTGCAGCCCTCAGGGCTATCAGCTACTCCTCCCAGTTTGGTATCGTCAGCAAACTTGCTGAGGGAGCACTCCAGCCCTTCATCCAGGCCGTTAATAAGTTGAACAGGACCGGACTGAGGACCGACCCCTGGGGGACACCGCTAACCACAGGTCTCCAACTAGACTCCGCGCCACTGACTACCGCTCTCTGCACCCTGCCACTGAGCCAATTCCTAATCCAACTCCCCGTCCACTCATCTATCCCACACCTTYGGAGCTTGCCCAGGAGGATGCTGTGAGGGAYRGTGTCAAAAGCCTTGCTGAAGTCCAGATAGATGACATCCACCGCTCTGCCCTCATCTATCCAGCTGGTCAGTCCATCATAGAAGGCAATCAGGTTAGTCAAGCATGATTTCCCCTWGGTGAATCCATGCTGGCTACTCCTGAGCACCTTCTTCTCCTCCACGTGTCTGGAGACAGCAACCAGGGTGAGCTGCTCCATCACTTTTCCGGGGATGGAGGTGAGGTAACTGGCCCGTTGCCCGGGTCCTCCTTCTTGCCCTTTTTGAAGACYGGAGTGATGTTGGCTTTCTTCCAGTCCTCTGGCACCTCCCCYGTTCTCCAGGACCTTCCAAAGATGATGGTGAGCGGCTCGGCTATGACATCCGCCAGTTCCCGCAACACCCTGGGGTGCATCCCATCAGGGCCCATGGATTTGTGGGTGTCGAGTTTCATTAGATGCTCTCTGACCCACTCTTCCTCTACCCAGGGCAAGCCTTCCTCCCTCTGGCTCTCTTCATGTGTCCCTAGGGCCTGGGATTCTAGAGGGTTGATCCTGACAAACACAGAAGCAAAGGCAGCATTCAGCAGCTCTGCTTTCTCCGTGTTTTCCGTAACCAGAGTACCCACCCCGTTCACTAGGGGACCCACATTCTCCCTGACCTTCCTCTTGTTAATATATTTGAAAAAGTTTTTCTGGTTGCTCTTAACATCCCTTGCCAGATTTAGTTCCAAGTGTGCCTTGGCTTTCTTTGTAGCATCCCTGCATTTCCTGGCAATGTTCCTGTGTTTCTCCCAAGGGGCCTGTCCTTTCTTCCACATTCTGTATACTGCCTTCTTCTGCTGGARTTTTGCCAGGAGCTCYCTGCTMATCCAYGCAGGTCTCCTGCCCCCTCTGCCTGACTTCTTGCACACAGGGATGCACTGTTGCTGGGCATGGAGGAAATGCCGCTTGAAGACTAACCAGCTTTCCTGGGCCCCTCTTCCTTGTAGAGCCCTAGCCCATGGAATCTTTCCCAGCAGGTCTCTGAAGAGGCTAAAGTTGGCCCTCCTGAAGTCCAGAGATGCAGAGGAAGCAGGCCTGCTTGAATAAAATAAAGAGCGCCTGCTCTTTAGTTCAGGGCCCCTTTCCCTGCTCATGCTGTGTGCTGCCTCTCCTTCCATCCCCYCAGGTCCCCCTAATTGTATGTAGACGCCTGTAGTCATTTGCACAACCTCAAATGTCATTTTCCCTCAAAAACACCCACATGCACAGATCTGCTTGGTATAGACACCCCTGCTTAGCAAAAGGGCCCCTGCTTGGAGTGGCTCCATCAGGTAGGAGTAAAGAGAAATCACTTGGCCTTTTAGAAGGATCACACATTAAATCAGCTCAAAAGAAGGAGAGAAAGGGAGATTCTTTTTCAGATCTCACTTTATTTAAGAAAAAAAAAGCGCCAATATTAGGACAATATTTTACACATTTGGGTGCCTAAGTATACGCTCTGTTACTTGTTCTTATACTTTCCAAAACTAGAAGTAGCTATGCAGCTTCAGATGTATTTGGAATTTCTAGATTTATTTAAGTTAGTATTATTTAGGCTAGTTCTATGCGCACATGAAAGTAAAGTGCTTATATTTAAGAACTGAGTATTAACACAGGGAGCCAGATGTCAGCTCCCGAATAGCAAAACATTTAGTTGAACATTATATTAATAGTATTTTCAGTTCCCTTCAGGTTTTTGTCTGTCATGTATTATAGACATGAGCAAAATTTACCATTGATAATTTTAATAGCTATGGAATTCTTGTTAGAATGCCTTTTGTTTTTAATTTTAACCCTAGCAGCAAACTATAGCACACTGTAGTAAATATCATCCTTGTAGCTAAATTGCAAGTATTTTAGATATGTAATTCAAAATAAATTACAAATCAAAAAGATACTCTGAAGACCTAAACTAAAGTCAATAGCAATAGAATGTAAATGGATACTGTTAATTTACTGATAATAATTTTAAGCAATTGAAGGCAAGACTATAATTATTCATTCCTGTCACTTGTAGCAGTTCTGATTTTTCTTTTCAAGTCAGCTTAAGGTGATTACAAAGGAAAAACACACTCAGGTGAATTACAATAATCAGAAAACCTAACGAGCATATATTTCCCTGTTTACATTTCTAGTTAAAGCCGAATAATGTCATCTTGGAAGCACTGAAAAAGTTTACACAATTACTGTATACCTCAGTGCTTGGGAAATCCTTTGAGACAATACTAACAAAATGAATTATATTCTCATACAGTATCCCTCCAGATGCTGTCTCCTGCAGAATATCAAAAAAAAGCTTTCTCCATTCTCTTCTTGGCTAACTCTCTGATTAAATTAGAGGAATACTAACACAGAATAATAGAGGTGACTTATGTCAGGCATATTTCAGATACGTCCCATATAGAACACAGGTAATATGGAACCAATATACATAAACCCTTTTTTATGAACTGTCTTCTTCAAGTCCTGTCATCTTCCCTCAGAGCCTCAAAAAACGACAGGAGCTGATAAAAACTGGGACGCTTTTCCGGTTGCTAAATGAAGGAAAAACAATGAGTATAGTTATTACTGCTATTGTTCATGAACTGTAATTTTCATTATTTTTTCTTCGTTTTAGCATGTAGAAATTCAGATAGTGAATCTTATGGGTAAAGAAAATCAGAATTACTTTTTGTATCTTCCTTATGTTATGAGAGTTTAATTTCCTTTCTTTGCACTAGCATGTCCTCATATAGAGGTTAACTTTCTCATTCTTCTGACAACTATATTAAAAATTCTGTGATTATTATAATTTCAATTTATCATCAGTAAAGTGCCAAACAGTTCTTGGTTGCTGGTGAGAAACAAGTGACAGTCTGCAGACAGCTGACTAGAATTTTGATGAATAATGGTAAATTAGGACATCTTTTGCAAAGTAGATGCAGCTCTCAAAATAATATGAGCATAATCAATATTTGACTTAAAACTGCTAAAAGACTTGGGATTAAAAAATAAGAAAAAACCTCAAAACTCCCCATTCTAAGGGTTGGGCTATTTCATGCCATTTTAGCTATATAGAAAAAGATAGCAGTCTTATTTAATTAGCTGTTTAAGATCCCCATACAGAGAGAGATATCTTTTTATTCTTTGGTGGGTAAGAGTGGGCAAATAACCATGGAAAAGTACTGGTTTCTGTCTAGCACTGTAACAATGTTACGAATCTGGACGATTAGCATATCTCAACACCCAAATTTTAAACAGTTAAAAATGGATAAGCAAAATCTCACCTAAGTATTACAASTACATTGAGAGATATTTTAAAGTTATTTGCTTAAATACTTGGTTCTAAAGAGAAATGAGCCAATCTTCCTTCATGCTCTATTTCTTGGGCTTTCTCTTTTTATCGCTAATGAGGAACCTGCCATACAGAATGCACTACATATAAGCAATGACATTTATGGGGGTATTTTCCACTATTATCCAGGTTGTATTTGCAGCTATACAAACCTCAATCCAGCAGTTGTGCATTATCTGGTAGATGATGTCTGAAACCAGTTGTGGTCTGTAAAGCCGGAATCCCTGAGAAACTTTCTCAATCACCTGCATGTTATCATACAGCTCATAGGGTTGCTTTCCCAAAGTGAATACTTCCCACATTAAGATACCTGAAGAAATATTAAGTAATGGAAGACAAGATACAGAAGTTGAGAAATAGAAGAGAACCCTTTTTTTTTTTTTTTTTCATAATACTCCTGCAACACTTACTCGATCGTACTGTATAAAGAATATTGTCCTAAGAAATGTATGGAGATAGCTAAAAAATGTGATCCTGTACTCTAATGTAAAATGACTTCTAATGACTTCAAATGTAGTAGAAGGTGAAGTTAGATAGTGCTTGTATAAATGGACTTAATGTGGACAACAATGGACTAAACTTAAGATGAGGTTATCCACTGACTGTATTTTTTACAAAATACATAAAAACTTCTCCCTACAGCTGTATGTGTATGTGCAGATACAGAGAAAGAGAGTGTGGAAAGGAAGGAAAGGGAAGCTGTAAATATTTATCTTTTTATAGAATAAATTGTAGGAAAATTTTTAGTGATATTTTGAAGTGAATAGGACATACACATACAAAACATTTCCAAGTGCAATCAGAACAAATGGATTATATGGAAACAATTGAAACAGTGCACAATACATCATTAATTCATAATGACAGGTTTTCAATAAACATTTTATTCTAACTGAACTCATGATAATTGTATCAATGTAGATTTTTTTAAATGATTGCTTTCTTATTTCACAATATTTACTTAACCTAGCTGTRAAGATTTGCTCCCAAAAGAAATTTATTGGACCATTGACTTTTCCTCCAGCCTAAAGACTGGAACACTGTAGGATGACAATGAGACCAGAATAGAATGGTACCTGGGTCCCAGCTTATCCTGACAGAACATTAAAAGTTACAGCCATTTGCTCGAAGACATCTGCTTAGGAGATATTACTACAACAGTTCAGCTTTTTAGCCCTTGAAAGATTCATTAGTTAGTTAAAAACAACCCAATCAACAACTGATTGATCCAGCTCCCTGCTTCCTTCTACTGTGTCAGTGGATAGTGAAAAGGCAAGAAAAGGCTTTCTAAGTTTCCTAAGTCCAGATTTTCTTTTTACATTGATGTTAAGGCCAATATTGAAGTTACTAACACCTGGAGTCAGAATTTCATCCACAAAACCAAAAAGAAATGTTTCATCAGGAAAAAAAAAAAAATATGTAGTTGATGTACATTATAAACAACTTGTAAAGGACAAAAGTAAGATGACTTTCTGCCAGATTTCCATTAGTGATACTGAGAGACTAACTGAAGTTAAAGATAAAAAGCAACAGCATTTATAAACACTTTCATCTATTTTATTCACCATGGCTCCATTCCAGATTTTAATAAGAACAGTGGATTGCCAATCTTTCATCAACTTGGTCCTAAATTTTTTCTACTGTGGGAGAAGACCCACACGCACATGCAATTTAAGCACATTGACAAAATGTTCCCTTTTTCTCTGTTACTTTTGGTAAGCTCTTAGATGCACTAAATAGACTGCAGAAAATTGTAAACAGCCAGAAAATCACTGAAATAGAAGCTTAAATGTCTAAATTTCCTGGGTTGAAAGAGATGCAAATGCATCTTTTTTATCTTTTTATCCCAGCTAATAGATCCTCTCCCACAGCTGCTTCATGCACAATGTTCACTTTGACCTCTGAATCTAAAGAAAAGCTGTTTTGACTTGGGCAGCACAGATTTATCCTCTACATCCAAAGATTCTATTTCATTTCCGCTACCAACAGTTTACTCTGCTGCACCATATTAAATGCATACAAAACAGTGAGTGGGCCAAGTTTCTATGTACCAAAAAGAAAAGCAATAGAGATAAAAAAAARTCCTAAGAGAGATAGGATTTGGTTGGATAAAAATATTAAACAATAATATAAACTGCTTTTTATATTTTGCCAGTGTGTGATTTCCTAGCATTTCTGCTTAGTAAGCTAAGGAAATCGAAGCCTGACTGCATAAACATACATATGTACATTAATATGCATATACATTTATATGTCAAATTCCATACATACCAAAGGCCCACACATCTGACTTGCTGCTGTATTTGGTGTAATGAAGAACTTCTGGTGCTGACCACTTCACTGGGAACTTAGTTCCTAGTGAACTTATATACAGGTCATCCAGAACATACCTGCAAAGCAAAGAACAGATCATTGCTGTGAACTTATACACAAAATATCACAGAATCATAGAAATGGGTGCTTTAAAGTTATCCAGCCCAGCCTCTAGTTCGAAGTCATATTATGCCCAACACCTTGTCAGGTCATCCATGGCCCTATATTTAAGTCTGAAAAGCCTTCAAGGATGGTGATTCCACAATCTCTCTGAGTAACTTGCTGTACCACTCTCCTGATGAAACAGCTTGTTTGGCTGTCCAGGTTGAACCTCTACAGCTGTGAAATGTAACCAATGCCCCCTGTTATATCATCTGGCACTGCTGAGAGTAATTTAACTCTGTCATCTAGAAGAAGCTCTTAGGTAGCTTTGAAATACACTTTTATCCTCTCTTTATGAGACTAAGAAAACCCTGCTTCCTCAGCCTCTCCTCAGAGGACATATGCTGTAGGCCAATCATCTTCTTCAGCTTCTCCCCAATGAGGTTGCTGAAGATGTTTGCCCCTATATTAGGTGACTATCTACAAGGGGAACATTATATACATAATTTTGTGTACAGAGCAAACTTTTCCAAACAAAGCAAACAAAGCAAACTTGTCCCAAACAAAGGAATTTCTTTAACAAATATGAGTAGCAAAATCTCTCAACTGCATTTGGCCTTTATGCATTAACTTTTGAGAGGGCAGAGTAACTTTATTCAATAACAGCTTAYGGCTATTAATGCAAAGCAGACATACATCCCTATGGATTAACTTTTCTAATGCTGATTCACTAGATAATCAGTGCCAACAAGCTATATGTACATTGACTTTGTACATTGTAAGTTCACAAGGTTGTCAGTTCTTTTACTTACCTAGTCATTCCAAAGTCAGATACTTTCACAGTAAGATTGCTGTCAACCAAACAGTTCCTAGCAGCCTTTAGTAGCAAAATTAAAAAAAGAAAATGAGTCAGTAGAAAAAATCCAAAGAGGAACAAGCAACTTTATGGTATGGTCTTGGTAGTTTTCTAACAAGTACTTCTGTCTGGTAGCATTTGAAGGAATAATGAAATTATCTGACTGAGGTATTTAAATTTGGAAAAGCAAGGGCAACTGTCCTCCTTCTCTTTTCTATCATTTATAGAAAAAAATATCATTTACCAGTATCTCAGCTTCACGAAGGACACTGAGGGACCAGGAAATACAGATGCACATTGATTTAATTAACACATTATAAAATGCATTGAGTGGAGTAATGAAAGATGATTTAAATAGTCTAATTTAGGGAAGGCCAGTATGAACTCAGTTCTATAAATGATCACTTGTGAACATTTATCTAAGGCTGTCCTCTCTGCCAGAATGGTTATTAATCTTTATAATGTTTGTGTCTATACTCCTCAAATTGAATCAAACTCAGGTTTTATTTCTGTTTTCCTACAGCCACTTTTCAGAAACTGATTTTATATTTACAACTTGAATCTTGTTACTTACATTATCTGACACATCTGCTTTCTTAATTTGAATGGGAAAATCGATGAGTTATGTATTTTAACAATTTAATTATACAGACAAACAAAGGTCTGAAAGTGTCAGCAAGACAACATTTAAAATTCAACCTGAAGAGTTGAAACAATCTAAGTAACCAAAAGTTTGAATGTTGCACTTCTTTGTCTTGGATAGAATATTTTATTTAAGTAAATTAATTTTACGGTTGGGTATGTCTGTGCTGCCAAGTGATGGATAAATCTTTGAGGTTTATGCCTGGCATAAATTGAATACTGTGGGATAGCTTACCAAATCTCTGTGTATGAACTGACAGCTCTCCAGGAAGGCCATAGCATCACAAATATCATAACATATTTCTAGAAGCTGAAGAGGTTGCAGTTCCTTCCCATGACTCCTTAAGTAGCTAAGTAAACAGCCATTAGGCATGTATTCTGTCACTAGATAGATGGGATATGATTTTGAGCATACACCGTACAGTCTAACAAGTTTGGGATGATTAAGTTTCCTGGAAAAAAAAAAAAGAAAAAAAAGAATAAATAGATATAATTGCACATTTTGGTAAGTTTTGATCTTCAAATACTAATATAGCATCTTGAAAAAATGCTTGAGACTGTACACAGCCCTATCTTAGACTTGAAAATGTTCCTTTACAAGAAGAGTCTTCCTCTGCTCAGTGCTGTCAAACWCAGTATTGACAATCAAAATAATACTAGGCATTGATGAATGACAATTTTCAAGTCAAAATCTGAAATGGGATGTATATATTAGTGCAAGTGTGCAACTTTACTCTTGTGCAAGTGTGTAACTTCACTGTTGTGAAAAAGTAGATTTAAGTTGGTAGGGTAGACCTTGCACCTTAAGGATTTCTGMTGAAACTTCATAGCAAAATAGATCCAGAATTCTTTGGATATCAGCTAGTTAACTGACAGGAAAGTAGTGCATTCCTTCAGGATATAAGATATCCAAAGTATTCTTAAATTCAAGTGTTTTGTTTTATTATCTCAGAATTTTACTAGAAGTGCATCAGAGACTAAAAACTGAAGTCAAATATTCATATTCCTGGCATTTCCCAGTTATTCGTCTGTATTTCATTCCCACCTGCAGAATGACAGGAGTAACTTTCTACCCATTCCTATAAAATTGCACTTTTAAATAACGAAGCATAATTTTAAGTGTGACATATGCAGAAACTCTAAAGTTGTGAAAAAGATGTTAATTGAAAACCTTTTGTAGATGACTCCATAAATCTTTGTAAAGTTTTATGCTATCTCTTTAAACATCCTTTGTGGATGCCTRTTTAATCTGTTCCTAAGGAATTTGACGCTAATTAATGACATTTTTAAAGAGTAAATTCTATTAGCCATGCCTGCTGTACATTTCTGATTAATCTTTGGAGAGATCACTGTTTCCAAATAATGAAGAAATGTCATAGCTTACATCATGATCTGAGCTTCTTCTATGAATTCATCTTCTGACATTGCTCCCTCTTTGATCATCTTTATGGCCACATCATATTGTCCCTTCCACTTTCCAAGATGAACCACTCCAAACTGACCGCTCCCTAGTTCTCTTAATAATACAATTTCTTCTCGTTTCAGCTCCCAGATTCCTAATGGGATAAAGGAAATTCCCTTTAGTAAAAAAACGGACCAATATAGGCAGAGCATCCTCTACATGCATTTTTTTTTCCCCAAGGTACCTGTTGCTCAGCTTTGTGTTTGAGTTACAACAGGATATTTCTGCAAGAGCTGTTTGCTTGCTTTTAGCCTTGTAAATAGTTCTGAGAAATATTCATGCATCAAATGATAATATATTTTCAAGTAAGGGATAGAAAAACAAGTGTGGTTATGTCAGGTAATATGGTAGAGGGAAAGAAAGTCCCTGATGTAGATGTGGTGGGGAAGGGAGCAYGTAAGGACATGACAAGAAGGACCTGGACGGAAGAGAGACCAAATCTGCCAGTGCCTTCATATTCCCCATGCCCTAGATGTAGGCTAGCTGGGCTGTTAGGAAGAGATAGCACATTTCTCAGAACCTTGAATTCTCAGTGCTCTTCTCACACAAGGAAAAAAAAATCAGGGAAGGACCCAAGCATCTTGCATGAAAGGAGGCTCTGAACTGCCTCTTGCATGAAGAACTGAAATGGTCACCATACAAAGAATTCAAAGTTTCCAGAACCTCCTATCAGCTTGAAAGCAGTAAGAGAAATGATTTCCTGATTATTCTTTTCCTGGTGGCCAAGTCACCAACTTTGAAAGGAAAGTCATCTTTATACCGTTTCCTAATGAGGCTGTGGCTGGGACCTTATTTGCTTGAGTAGACACCGCATACCGGAGCCTTGTCACCATACCTACAATGAGAACATGTGATAGTGCATAATGTATAAATGACCCTTTTGAAATAAAGAAAAGATAGGGAAATCTCTCTTATTGCAACGAGACAGTGAGTGAAAAATGCTCATATCTATAAAACTTCCTGAGACCAAAAATATCCCGTATTTAACTGCTAGTCTAGCAAAGGTATTTCAAGAAGATATACGACAATATCAAAGGTACAACAAAGCAAAGCAACTATAAATAAAATGGCAGCTCAAACTCCCCCGAAATTATCTCAAAAAATAAGTATTTGAAGTATTCAGTATGGGAAGCTTTGGAAGAGATTCACCATAACTGTAAGAAGCCCAGCAGTCTAAGCRAGAGCCAATCAAGTACAAAGAGTGCACAAGATTACCGGCTGAGTTGTGCTGGTGGTAGTGAATAAGCTTGGGAATTGATTCAAAACAGTATTTTTCAGCGAGATAATACTTGTTTTCAGTGGTTCTGTGCACATGGTAATGTTTGATTGCTCCTTTTTTACTTCTGAAAAATACCACAAATTGCAGTACATGTCAGAACCTTGCAAAGTGCCCTCCAGTCTGTGCATTAATAGATMAGTTAAGTTGCTGAATGAACTGCAGCACTTCAGCTGGCCAAATAACACTCCATGAATAGTAAATATGACCATAAGACTGTTAAATTTCCCTCTCTCCTCCTTTTCCAATCTTAACATCTATGGGCTAGTGAATATAGACTCCCATCAGGTTCATATCCAAAGCAAAATTTTTTCATATACTTTATTATATGAAAGTATGCTATGTATTTCTGGGCCCTTTTAATGGTTTTCCATCTAATTTTGAACATCTCTGAGTAAGAAGCTCACAATCAGAAGCAGCTGTAGTCTGCTTTCCTTCTTCCTTTCCCTGCTTTTCCCTTCCTTCCCTTCCACTCCTTGCCCTGCCCTTCCTTTCCTTCTTCCCTGCCTTGCCCTTCCTTCTCCCTCTGGAGTGTCTGCTCTTTCCCTAGATTATATTCCTCAGTTAAATGCCTATGTTTAGAGGAGGCAATTCTGGGCCTTCATCACCCCACTCAGGGAGAAAATAGTTTATGATATGTAGCAGTCACATAGCTAATGTGATCTGAATGTGCTTGAGGTCCATCTTGAACATCTTGTTTTTCACCAATAGCAGAAGTAACACACCCATAGCATGCTCATAAAAATGATAGACATCCTTTGGATACTCACTCAGGAACCTTGCTGAATACAGACACCGTATACATTCCTGCTTGGCTAGATTTACGAACCATAAAAGCACCTTCTTTCCCCTAATGAAGAAAGACAAAGGTTTACAAGAAACAATGAAGCTGAGATTCATTTCAGTGAACTTCAGACTTCAACACTGTAATGTCCACGTCTTTTAAAGGACGACATTAGGACAAGATAAAGTGTGCCATAGAAATATTTGTGTCTTTCACTAAAAAGAAAGTCTGAGTAACTGGTTGAGTTATCCTACTATAGATGCTTAAAATTAGGTAAATTGTACCCCAGCCCCAAGATGAAGCAAATAGTCCAAAATTTTGTTTTGGTGCACCAATACTGATTTATTGCAGGGGTGATGGAAAGGAGTTGTTTACATCTGCTCCTTCCTCCCAATCTCCCCAAGGTGGTATTCTAAAAAATATAGAGAGAATTCCTCTAATCTGAACTCTTGAAAAAGCCACACTTAAAACCTCATAAGAAGAGCTCTGTGGGATGTGATGTGTGTGGCTTTGCTCTGACACGAGACTATTTTAAAGGTGTATCATTTTTTCATCTGTGTGTAAGACTCCTAAATCCATTCAGATACATTTGGAGGTTTGTTTATTGCTGCCAAGTTAGTTTAAGAGTTTCTAGCACTGTGTTTACTATACTATAGCTATTTGAAGAGCATCAGCATCCTCTAGCTACGGAGTACTGCAAAGGCAACGGATAGAAATATTTCCAAAGTTGTTCATATACAACTGAAAAAGGATACGCAGAACCTTCTGACGGAGCAGTTGCTCAGACTGGGCACGGGAGATATTACCAGCATACCAACTGCAAGGAGAAATATTGGGTACATCATTGACAGGATGATTTCTGAACAAGGCAAAACACAAAGATGAAAAAGGCCAAGGTACTTTTTTTTCAAAACTGCTTGTAAAAGATAGAGGGTAGTGCTGGGACTTTTTCCTACAGGTGTATTTTTAAGCCATGGGATAAAAGAAAAATGACCAGTCCCCATATGCTTTACCCTGAAATATCTGGTTCCCTATCAGAGCCCACCCTATAATTTTGACTTTCTACTGTAATTCCCTGTAGGAGAATCCTGCAGAGCTTTAGAGCTTCCAGTCATAATGGAAATGGTTCACTCTGTCTCTTACCAGTCATGACATGGTTTTCTCCCTAAAAGCTGTGGACTATATAATTGCCCTCTTAACTATCCTCTTATGATTCATCCCCTTGGTAGGGTACAAGACTGATTGGCTTAAATGCCTTCTATTTCCTGTAAATGAATGAATTGCCTGAAAGTGAATATATTTTACCATTTGGAATCTGTGGGTAGTGATGTTGTGGATGACCTTAAAACTAATCACAAGGCTATGTAGGTATAAAGTATACTATACATATACAGTGGTTCTTAGGAATACATATTCTACATACTCACTCATACTTAGTAATGCTCTGCTCTTCTGCTGATGAATACTCACTGGCACTAGAGTTTTCCCTACAAATATGAAATATTATACTAAAGTTGTGAAAAAGTAGTAATGAAAAACATTTTTCTTCTTAGGTTAAAAGTCATAGTATATACATATACATATACATATACATACACATACACATACACATACACATACACATACATATCTATTTATATTTAGTTTTTGTCATTAATATATCATGAGCCAACTTAAAATGTTGACAATATATTTAAATATCTGTTTGTTTGCTTGTATGTTTGTTTTCTAATGACTTGATACATACACATACACATACATATCTATTTATATTTAGTTTTTGTCATTAATATATCATGAGCCAACTTAAAATGTTGACAATATATTTAAATATCTGTTTGTTTGCTTGTATGTTTGTTTTCTAATGACTTGATTAACACTGACAAAGCCTTTCACTTCCAGTAGCACTATACAGTGTGCTGAAAAACAAGATATTTTCTGTGTATGCAGGCAATGAAACCACATATATATTTAGTGAACTTATGAAGAGATGGAATCTGCTTCTTCAAAAATAAGATGGGAAAATTTCCAAAACTGCACACGAGATCTTGCAGAGAAAAATAGTAGTGATTCTACTTTATGCTGGCTTGTACAGGATAAGGGTAAGATAAGGGTAAGGGTTTTTAAGTTTGTTTTTTTTTTTTGTTTGTTTGTTTTTTGAGGACTGAATCTTATCCAGCACCATTTACTGTGAAAAAAAAATCTCTTCTTTGAAATTTTCTTGCAAACACTTAGGCCAGTGCTCAAAGTTTAAGAGGTTGTGCTATTTAACTAAAGAAGAGGGATACGTCACTTAGACAAGCCTAGACTCACTTCACTCTCTGTTGGAATATTCACATACACAGCAATGCATATGAGTGTTAGCAAGGCTTGCATTTTCAGGCTGAAGTCACACTGAGTGAAATCTCAGTTCCATTAAAATCTGGGGAAAATTCCTATTGATTTAAATGAAACCAGGATTTTACACCAATGCTTCTCATATTAATGTATTTATCGCAAAGACAAAGTTGTATTTAATTCGATACTTTTCAGGAAACTCTACACAGTATGCTCAGGTAGTTATTAAACAAGGTATAAAAAAACCCAAAATATTCCAGAAATGTTGTCATATCTTCCTTAGACTCGTAAAAAGAACATTTGAGAGTGGATGGCTGCATTTAGTTTTACCTTGGCTCATCATCATTCAGAGATAGCTTTCTTAAGTAAGAACTTGGTACGAAGCCTTCATTCCTGCAAAATAAACAGTTCACAATTCAGCTGCTGCACATGATTGCTTCTTAAATTTGGTCACTTAACACAGGAAATGGGATTAATAAGAAWCACGTTATAGAATGCCTCTCAGATAAATGTTCACAGTTAAAACATTTCTGTTTCTCACATACCATGGAGAAAAACACCGAGGTAATTTGTTTTAAAAATTGCACTTTAATTACGTACTGTTTCCACTAGTCATTGAAATAAATTCTTCCTCAGTGATTGACAATCATACGGAAGACTGGCACAGCTGTTCAACAATATTGCTACATGCCATCTCAGTTGTTATAATGAAGGATGCCAGTGACCAAGGGGTGCCAGCAGAATATTCAAGGTCAAATACAGACTTCAGAAAGCCAATAGAGAGGCTCAGTGCTTTCAGATGCAATGTCAGATGCAGCTGAGAAGCTATTTTAACTGAATACAGACAGCTACTGCTTAAGGGCTCTGTCACCATGGCATGGTGGCCCTAGGGTATGAGACCAAGAAGTATCTGTTGCTGTATGCGAGCGAGTTGGATACTATGCCCATTAGAAAAATAAATATGGGGAATAAATTCTGTATTTGAATATGGATACAAGCAACATAGGCATCAGGAGGAAACTGGTTGTGTTTGATATCTGAAACAAGAAACTGCCTGCTTTTTGCTCCTACTACATCCCAGACAACAAGATTTTCAAGCAGAATTTTAAGATTTTGTTATGATACATGTGATTTGTGCTCAGAGAACCAATACAGTGAAAGTGTCAGTTTCTGAGGTCAAATAAAAGAACTAGAAATATTTCCCTTTCTCTTGGTGTCTCTCCTTCATTCATCTCAAAATTCTCAAAAGTATCTACTTGGGTTCTGTGAGCAGAACTGCCTCCATCGTGCTTATACATAGCCATATACATTTCAGTGCATGCATTTAAGAGCATATCATCTCAAATGAATAATATATTACTATCTTAAGCCTCCTGGGATTGCATGCTGCTTTCTTCAGCCAGATCAGTACGCTCATTCTGTGAGTTACCAGATACAGTTGCCTTACATAAAGTTAATATTTCTTTCTTTGTTTGTATACTTGCAGATATAAACTGAATCAATGAATTATGAGTGGATTGAGTAATTTCACTGTTCCAAATCACTCTGGACATCTCCTAGCTCAGATTTTTCTCTCTTTTCCATTTCTATCAAGTATATATAATCAAGCTCAGCTAGTATCCTTTATGAAATGTGTAAGGAATCTTATCTCTTTCATATGCCTACTGTTTGTTGCTCTGCCTTTGTCTACAGATTACTCCTGAAGTTGCTTCTTATTTAATGAGTTGATATGAAATTCTCTTTTCTGCCCCAGGTGGAGATTAATTAAAAATATTTTAAATTTTTGAAGGGGCTTCTTCTACTTGTGGGCCTCTRGGAGAATAATTTCTCTCTTCTATCCTGTTCAGGATGAAGGTGCTTTGTGTCTATGAAAAGATATTGCTAAATCTGCTGATTCTCTAAAATGAGACRTGATTCCTGTTTCATCAGTTCTCACCTATATCTTGTGCTGTCACTGTTATTAAAACAGTGATGGTGTGGTCTAAGGAWAATCTGTGTGTAGCAGAGAGCCAACATTTGTGAAGAGAGATTTTATCTTTTTATTCATTCAATCTACATTGTCTAAAAAATAGACAGCTTCAGAATATACAAGTCCCTCCTCAGGCATAYACCAAAATTAAGGCAATTGATGACTATTTCAGCTAGTGTATTAGAGACTATTATGATTTTTATKTGGCACACTGGATGGTAATTATAATGGAGCTGCACTGGAACAAAAAAAAAGTATCAGGACTGCTTGCTGGATTATCTRTGAAGATGCAGTATGCAGTCAACCATGAATACAGAATTCATGTAGCACTAACTTACCCTTCCAAATCCTTTACTCGCCACCAGCCAGAATTTTCTTCTTTCAGTACATAATATTTCTTGTTTTTAACAAGACGAATAGTTGATTTTTCTGTTGGTTCGTAGTTGTACTGGGCCAAAGCTATCTTCAGGTCTGACTTGTCTGGTGATAGCACCTGGGAGAGCCTTCTATGTGTCTGGTTTTTGAAATAAAATGAAAGGGAGAAGCAGCACAAGCTATAGCAAGAAATAACCTGTGACATGTACACAACCATTTGTATCTTTAATGTGCATAATTCTAGGCAAATTAACCTAAGCCAAGAAGCTGTACAAAGCCAAACACTTTTTGCTCCATCCATTTAGAAATACATTCCTGAAACTGTTGCCCATMTTTTGAGACAAATAACACCAGAGCCAAGTCCCATTATTTGCCAGAAGACTACACTCTGAGTAGAGACTGACACTGCTGAAATAGCAAGCTTTCAAAACCAGCACTAGCTACTAAACATGACTCATCAAAATACTACCACCTGTCTGGAGGTAATACTATTTAATGGACAGTTAAAACTCATGAACTTTAGACACCACATGACTAATTAATGGATAGCTAAAACTCATGAACTTTAGATACCATATGACTAAAATGTATTTTATGGTAGCTAAGTGTGTTGATGTCACATCATGTGATGTCATATCAAAAGATCCCATAACAGTATTTTAAAATAATTCTTACTGATGGTTTCTTTATTAACAATAATGTTACCAATAAACAAAACAAGCATTAGCCATCTGTTTCTGATAGTCACTGAAAACAAAAAACTGCAGTGATTGCAAATTATTCTCTTTCTTTACTATGTCTTCTTGGCTAAAACAGATGTTTCTCTGTATATGTCAAAACCACTTCTTGATGCCAAAATTACCCTCTACCAGGTTAAACAAGTGCAGGTAAGTAACTATGGCATTAATCTCACCTACCTTTGACCCTGGTCTTCAGGTGAAATGTGCCATTCTGCAGAAGCCTGTCTCTAATAACCGATTCCTGAGAAAGCCTACGCAACTAACTCAGACTACATGCCTGACATTAAAGTTAGGTGACACCAATCTATACATAGGTAAGACAGCAACTGAAAATAAGGCACTGAAGTGCTCTTAGAAACTGAGAAAAGGTTATCAATAACTGAGAAATGAAGTCAAGCTGTTCTGGCCAGATCTAGCAGTTATTATATCCCCATTTATGGAACCTGTTCATGTCTCCCATGTTTATGTATTTCAAATTTCCCTTCCAAAATACCTTCTCAGAATTCAGGCAAATAATCAAAACAAATCATAAAGGCCTTGCAGAAGGCAGCTTGTTCAGCAGCAAATTTACATAACTGATAATCTCTCTAAATAGACAAAGCATTTCTTAATGGAAACCAGACAAGACAGACCACAATATTCAAAACAAGTTACATTGCTATATGTTCACAAAGCTGTTATTTTGAAATCTCATTAGCAGAAAGAAAATGTCACAAGAGTCATATCACAATCATAGCCTCTTTCAAGGCCTTATTATTAGTTTTAAAACTCCATTTTAGAGCTCTTGTGATTTTATCTTCTGCCTCTTGATAGTAGGCATGTATCTGATAGCCCTGTCCGTTCATGTCAATTGTATACTAGCTTTTTTTCTTTTCTTTCTTTTAAGTTACTTGGTGATTAAGAGAGAAGAGGTAAGAGATGTGTCCAGAATGTATCCTAAAGATGTAAAGAACAGAAAGCCACTGAAAAGAAAGTAGGAAAATAGATTTTTTAAAGTCTCATGTTTTTAAAGTCAATATCTGGTTTAATTTGGAGCTACAGTAATGATTTTTATGTGCATCATAACTTAAAAAGCTTTGTTGTCTTTTATTCTTTTGTCATTGTCATCTTCTCCCCATTTATGCTTCTTAATAAGTAGATTGGACAGTGAAGCTGAGGTCTGAGACATCACTATAGCTGTCACATTTCTACAGAAAGGAACAGGCAAGGGGACAAATACAGCAACAGGTCTTCCAGCCTTGCTTTTTTTTTCATTATCACTGCCAACTACTGCCGTTCGTCATCAAGGACCTGGGTCCTGGGGAGTTAGGCTTTTCYTGTAGGCAGATACCCATAACGTCTCACCTACCAGAGTTTGAGGGATGGGAGGCAGTGGTTTCACAGACTTGGTTGTACAGTGTAGACCCACGTCTAGAAGAAGGAGAGAAATGAGAAAGAACATATGAATTTATTAAGGCTTTACCTCTCAAAGCTTTCTCACAAATATACATAGTGATAGGAACAGCATTATAAACATGAAGCATCGTCATAATCGACATTTCACTTCCCTTTTGCAAAAAAAATCTTTCACTTCTGTATTTTCCAGCCTTTGAGTAATTTAGTTTTCTCAATTCTTTTTAAATCCCACCAGCCATCACTTTCATCTATGCCAAAATAAAAGTTAGAGGAACTTCATGCGTTTTTCCCAGTTGTGTTAGCTTACTTGATCTTATACAAAGGAAAATGTAGGAATACTTCATTTTTTTTATTTTGGCTTTTATGATGGTTTCATGGACACTGACAATCTTCCAAGCAGATCTTAAGTTATGTAGTTTTCAATTAAATAGTGGTTAAAAGAYGGAGACTGTCTGGAGTCTTCCTCACACAGTCTCCTTGTTCTCCCTGCACCTCTGTTAGCATCTTGGAAGCTCAGGAACAATTTGGAATAGACACAAYACTACATGTTGCATGTATTATTATTTCAAACAGAAATGAAGCACCCAGTATACCGAAATTCTCTTTTTTAATTGTTGTCCTGCCTGTCATCATAGCTGACAGTGAGGCACTTCCTTGTCTTTGCAACAGGCTGGGATGTTATGGCCTTATTTGCCTATATAACAAGAGGTTTTCAGGTTATGTGAGGCTATTCAAATTACTATTACAGATCGGCTGGCAAACTCTACACATTATTTAGTGTTCTGCACTCATGAAACCTGTATTAACATAAGACTGTGTTATTAATTTTTATTTTTCCAAAGCAAATGCTGCATTACGGGAGGCAGTCTCAAAGAAATAAATCAGGTTCCTAACTGCTCACACCTACATTTTTGAATGTATCCTTTATTTTGTGCTTCTACATGTTTGATTGTGACTGTAAGTGTTTAAGACATAGTTTCAATCATGACTAAAATCAGCAGATCTATCAATGCTCTACACCTCTAAATAATCAAGTTTTAAAAGACCAAAGCCCAAATATCCATAAGTTGCTGTTCCCTTTTCCAAATGTGGGCATGCACATGGACATGAGGGAATTCACTCCTCAAAATGTGGAAACCAGGAAGATGCTGGTTTGCAAATGTTCAGTCTTTACAATAAAATATAAAGGCCTTAGATGATTGTGACTAAGTTCTATAAAATGCTTTAGAAATGTATATTCAAAGCAAGAAGAAGAATCATATGTGCTGAAGGTTATCTTTTTTTTTTTCCTTTCCTTCAAACATATAAAAGAAGAGAAAGATAAATAAATAAATAAATAAATAAAAAGTTTTAAGTTTAAAAAGAAGCTGTACTTTAAGCTGTCATCTTAGCTCCTGGAGTGTGCATTTTCAGTTACTTTGTATTCTCCTGCCAGACTGCTGGGCAGTAACTTCTATTCATTTATGGTTCAATTTCCATTCTGTGTTTTACTTTTTTTTTTTCACTTCCCAAATACTGCTTTGGCAGGAAATGCAGAGATCATTATTTAGAGCAAAAACAGATCTTGTTACTTCTTAAATACTTGCTTCCTAGGACTATCCATTGCAAGAAAAAAATCTTATTCGCAATTTTCTTCAGCAAAGCTTATTTCCCAGCAGTGTTCAGTTTATAAAGCTAAAGTTTAATTACCATCCTAAGTCAGCTGTTCCTACTGTAACTTACTTCTTGTCATTTCAAAATTCCAGAATGTATTAGAAAAAAAGTTTTGAGAAAGAAATGGGGCATTGTTTAGAAAAATATTCATTATATAAGTATAATCATATATGAATAAAATTCACCTAGTACTAATTACTTGTGAAAATGAGTTGTTTTATTCTCATTCATTAACATTCTAGTACTGAGTTTCTGTCTGTCCAGCTATTTAGAATTTTTATCATTAGAAGGGTTTTACAGCATAATGATTCAATTTACCTAGAAATCTTAAAAATGAGGAGAAAAATGTACCATTGGTCCATTTAGTGTGCAAAAATATCGCTAACTTTATGATAAAACACATCATAAATCATTTAGTGCATTATTTCCCCAAAAGGGGCTATAAGCTACAATGTACAGCTGCTATGATGTTAAGGGAGTTTAACACATATGTAAAATTCAACAAATTGGTTGATTAACTTTTGTATTCATGTGACTTAAACATCCACATGGATTTGGCAATTCTGTGGAAAGCATCAATGAGACTAAACAAGCAAAATTAGAGTATCTTACATTTCTCCCAGATTGTACATCCAGGGGCTGCTTTACATGTCTGGTTGCAGCAGAGAAACTTTCCATTGGTGAAGAATCCTTTGTGATACTTGTTTAGTAAATCAGAATTGTCTTTAATTTCTGGGAACCACACAGAAAGCAAAAAGAACATGAAAGTCTGCACAGCTGGAATATTCCTGTTGACTAATAGAGACTGTTGCACTAAACCTTGGGAGCCAGGAGCACTTATCGACTCAACTCTAGACACAGTTCCTGGGCACTTCTTTTCTTCTCATCTAAATTCTTCTGTTCTATTTCTAGGGGGAAACCTAGGTCTGAAACCCCTGTCTACTCCACTACTTGATTCTGTGAGAAAGAAACTTGGTGAGTTAGAAATGAGGAACAGTATAGTCTGGTTAAATACTCAACAGCCTAAGAAAGATCCACAGGCTATGATTCAAAATTGTGTAACTTATAAAGATCTCACTTTGGTGATAATAAACTTAGGAAAATATTTTTCATATAAAAAAAAAAAAAAAAAAGAGGCTGCTTTCCAAGGACTATCCAGTGTAAGAAAATTATATTGAATGATAGTATTTGAATAGATACTCAGTACCCATAGGGCAAACACAAAGCAATCTTTATCTGGTGAAATACTTACTTATTTAAACATACCAAAAGGGAGCATCACATAAACATTTATCTCATATTAGAACCACTTCTCTGCTYTAGAGAAGTGGCTCAGTGCTATCACCGTGCTACTGATACAAGAGATCTGCAAACTATAAGAGTAGATTTGGACTTAAAAAAGATGTTGAATGTGTAAATGAGACTTTGAAAACCAATTGCTTTCAGCTCTGCTGTATTGAGCCCTGCTAAACACCAGTTTTCTGTACTTGGGAAGAAATTGCCCAAGGACTGGTGCACCTCTTGGCCACAAGCACTTGCTACAGACTTTCTAAAAGGCCTGTAGGTGGTTAGATTATTTGTGCTATCGTGTACCTCATGAGCACCACAAACATATATCACTCTATTTTCAACAATTCATTAAAAAAAWTGTTACTGCAGCACCAAACGTTCCTTCAAAGTTTTATTGAATAAATCTCCTTGGTGATTTTAGAAGGATCAATGTGACTAGCTTACTGAATGCTTCACATTCTGCTTTCTGGTCCACATTCTTCACAATAACACAACCAAATTAACAGACCTATCCTTAGTWCTTTGCAGGCTAAGGGAGAGTCACATACCGTAGCTCATACATAGACTTACAGGTGAAGTTTGAGAGGTATTTGTTCACAGCCCACTTCCAAGTCCAATTAAATAAATGGAAAATACTGTGGCAGTTTTTCTGCAGATTGTATATCCTTGTTTCTACAGACTTTACAGACCTTCTATACAGGTAAGCACAACACTAAGCAAATTAGAAATGCTTGCACTCTATTATTGGTTAAAGACTGAGGATAGGATAAAGACTAAAACATGCATATACATTACAAAAATAAGTTTTATTTTGGCTCACTTCTCACTGAATTTTTCAGTCTTTAAAATTTCTATACAATTATTGAAAAGACCATGCATTTCAATCAGTCAGTGTTGAAGCAGAAATGAAACTGAAAACAAATGGCAAAGTATTGCAGTAAAATGAGGGAGCATTTTCCTATCTCCCCTAATGTAATTTGAATTTCTTGGTACACAGAGGAATAATGCTACCTTTATGCAAAGCTGCCAGCCATCGGTTCCGACTCTCTTCACTAGTTGCATAGACATAGAGTAGGCCATCCTTGTACACAATCTAGAAGACATGGGGAAGCCAGAAAGGTGAGAGCATACTGCCCAAAAGCCTGGTACTGTGTAGGAGGGGAAAGGACTAAGGGATGGGAGCCAAAGAAACAGAATTTGCAGGTCTACAGACATGAAACATGTTCAACTTAGCAAGMTTTCTCTGAGACCACTTACTGTGCTGCCACTTCCTATAAATAAAAACTTTATATGCACTAGCTCAAACAAATGGTTTAATGGTTTTATCTTTGAAAACTACAGAAACCTGTCTCTTATGCACAAAAACCCTTTTAGCCCTCATATAATCTTTTCTCTTGTAATTTCTCTTGATTCAAGTTCTAGCCTTTCACTCTTACAGGGCAAGACTATATGTTCATCCAGGTCAACACACTGTCTCTGACATGGCCAATAACAAATACTAATGCAGAGTATAAGTGCAGAGCTTCTGTACAGTGAATAGGAATCCTAATCCAGAGGTTAGGCCCATGACTTTTTTCTTGTGAATTAGTTCAGGTTTTGCCTTTTAGACTAAATAATTAGTATCTGCACCATTCTGCACAAAATAGTCCTAGAGCTTAACTGCACATTATGAACAACAAGCTCCTTTTGTATGGTTTGAACCAATCTTCTACAAGTTCCTTYTAATGCCCAACTGAATAATTACTAACATCTGCTTTGCTTTTCTAATCACTGCTTAGCACTGGGCTGACTTTTTCAATGAACTCTCTCCTTTAATCCAGTTTCGCATCCTGAGCGGTAACAATAAATCCAGAGACTATTTTCTACACACACACAAACACACACACACACACACACACACACACACACACACACACACTTATCTGTGTGCATTTTATCTCCATATAATCTGTGCTTATTTTATATATATATATGTATATATAAAATGTTATGTATGTAATGTATGTATGTATGTGTCTATATTAATTCAGGGTAGGACTGTCCTCATGGGCACTGCTTTTCAGTCATCTACACTGAATTTCAAATGCTATTTTATTGCTTATGTTTGTTTCTCTGAAAGGGCCTCATTATTAAATGTGTATTTCTTCTTAGCTAAATGGATAGAACTCTGTGAGTATTTCTTTTTAAGTCATGTTTCCAGCCTATTAGTCATTCTCAAGGCTCTCCTCTGACCTCTCTTCACTTTACAACATCTTTCTTGAATTATAGTCACCAGAACTAGACACAATATCCTGCTGATGCTCACAGTAGTGTCAAAACAAAGGCAACATGGCCTTCCTGATTTCACTCAATACATGCCTGCTTCCATGTCCAAGGATATCATCAGCTCTTTTGGCTTTAGCATCCCACTGGGAATTCATGATCCATTTTAGTCAATTTTACAGACACTGTCCCAGAATAGGCTCCTCTATCCTGTAAGTATAGTACACAATTTTTTTTTTTTTTATCCCAGTTAAGCAAATTAAGGCAAAGGAAGWCAGGAGTGACACCTAGGATTAGGTAGGCATTGGAATACTAAGCCTCTCTCTTGAGGCTGCTCTTGGGCATGGCAATTATTGAAGGGTCATGAATTAAGGCACTCTTTAGTAAACTTAAGCATTAGCGATATCAATACCCAGGACAGTAATAATCCGTGTAATCTGTAGAAACCTTACAATGACTGGATTATTTCACAAGAAATCTACATGTAATGGATTTCATGGCTAACCTGAAATGGATACTGTCTTGCAGGAGGTGCCGATTCCTCTAGATTCACTGTTTCAACACACCGGATTTTCTTAATATCAATTGACCCTTTTTTGCTTCCTCTTTTCTAAGGGAGAAAAARAAAACACAGAAGAGATTAAGCACCATTTTGAACATAATCTAAAATATTGTAGTACTTTGTTACTCTGTGCAATTTGTTTCAACCTAGATAAACTGGAGTTTCACACTTGCAAAAATTAATGAAAAACATATTACAAAATCTCCTTGGTGCCTCATTTGCACCCAGAACATGGATAAAGTACCTTTCAAAGATAGTTACAAGAAACAGAGGACAAAGTTCTACATGTGAGAAAAGATCTGCTGCTACTGCAGTATTACAAGGCAGAAGGTGTCTAGTAGCAAAAGGAGAAACGGGAATTAAGAGGAAAGCACCTTAAGTGCTTTCTTAAGCACCTTAAGTGCTTTTGCACCTTATGTGCAAAATAAGAGCTTTGTTGTTGTATTCAGAATTTTGTTAAGGTAATGGAGTTTATTCTCACTAAGCTTCCAGATAATTTCCTAAAAGAATTCATAGGAGGAGTTCAAATGTATTAACAGGAGCAAAAACTTTATAGCAAGTTGCCTGGAACATATATTTGCATGACCATAGATCTTCTGAATGAAAAGTTATCCTTCCAAGATATACAGTCTTTTTTTTTTTTTTTTTTTTTTTTTTTTTTTTTTACCACACCACAGGAGTTGAACCATCTGCTTTGTACAGTCAAGGGATAAAAACATGAACTAATTATGCCTTTCATAAATAACTGCTCAAGACAGTTATTTTTCCTGTCTTCAGGGGAAGCATGAACAGGGAAGACATCCTTATTTGAGACAATGCTTAACCATATGCCTAATGTTAATCACCTGCTTAAGTTCTATTGTCTTCAGAAGAACACAGATACTCAATGGTAAGCGTAATGATAAGAGCTGTACTGCATACAAACATTCTTAAACCTGAGGCTTTCCTGAACTGAAACTAGGATTTGGTATCSTACAGTTTTTTAATTCTACTTGAAACAAAATACACCCATGGTTCTAATACATAGTATGTAATCAAGTCTCAAAGAAGAGAAGAACAACATGACTTTGAAAAATCTTATAACAGTGTACTGAAGAAAATTACTTCTTACCTSCTTGTCATACTCATAATAAGAAAGATTTGCTGTTGTCAGAACAAACAAACGTTCTTTGTAATTTGTTGGTGACATTTTTTTCTTCTGTTGTGACTTCTTTAAAAGAAGCTCTTCTAGAATTACTTTCTTCTCCATTGTACTTCCCTTAAAAAAGTCAGTTACTTTATTGCTATTAATAAAAATAACCATAGCAATTACAGCAATTGTTATACTAGATATATATTGAGTTGTTGAATTCTACATAAACTGTAAATTTTTACAATAATATATGTCACAAAGTATGTTTAATACTCCTTAAACARATAAGGTTTATTAGCTTATACACTCAGTAAAACCAGTCATAATATCAGAAAATTAAGTAAAAATAAGYTGTAATTTTAATTAGGCATCTCTTTTTTTTTATTTACTGAGTACTTCTACTTTTAAAGTCATKCATTCTATGCATGTGCTTTTGCCATGTGCTCTTTCTGGCAAAGCGCACGGTCTACTTTAAGCATAAATGTATTACGTCTGCAGCATAATATGGAAGTCATTATAGCAGCAAAGACAACAAGAAAAGAAAGAAAAGAAAGCCCTTCTATTTGCAGACCACAGAAGCATAACTAGTATTGATGAATGGATTTTCTGAACTGGAAATTTCCCATTTCTTTATTTCAATTGAAACAAATGCACATTTATGGAAGGGTGGCATGTACAAAGATCAAAAAGGAAGAATGTTCTTGCACCAATACATGCACATATATATATWTTTTTCTTAGTCTTGATAATCATACAGTAGCAAGTGCTAAGAAGGATTGAGCCCTCTATATTTATGTAAGTTTAATAAGTTTCCTTGTTATCTTACCCAAACTTTAAGAAAGTACKTCCTTTGTCCTGTGTGCTCTGGAGCTCCCAAGGAATGTGCTCTGCTAAGTTGCACACTTCATTATGTCCCTTTTCACTACAGAGCCCTAGCAGAAAGAAAGTATTTGCATGACACTCATCACACCCTTTTCATATTACCACTGAATTTRATCTGTAACCAGAAAGGAACAAATATCCGGTGTGAATGGTCTGAGGATGGGGAGGTGCACGTGACTAGGCTTAACTTCATCATGGATATCTGGGTGGGGGAAGCCTGCAAACACCTTCCACAAAGTCCCTTTTGGACAAGTCAGTGCATATTAGTGCTACTAGTCCGTCAGTTTATAGGTAATCTTCTTAACATATGCAATTTCTGAAGGATATGTGAGCATATGGCAGATGAAGGGGAATTGGGGTTGAAATCTTGCAATTGAAATGGCTATTCTGATGTAGGGAAAAGGAACATTCATCTCTCTTTAGGAACATGGTCAAACATGTCTTTTCAGGATATGGCTTGTCTTGGTTTCATGTAGCTTTAAGAAGATGTCTTTGCAATTAAAATCATAGGTCAGATAGAAGACCAAAAAATACTGTCATTCTTACAATGATAAAATAAGCTTTGCAGTAAGCTTTTCAATCTGGTAAGCATCGCTGAAGATAGCATTCTGTTGAATTTTATAATTTACTGGCTCTGTATATGACCCCGTATATTTACTATGGTAAATGACATATTGGATCACCTAATGATCTAAGAGCATGGCTTCTACCTTGTCTGTGGACCTGTATCAAGCACATCACCTACTCATCCAACAAAGGGTAAAAAGGTGTAGCTTAGGAAAAACGTATTTAAAACTGAAAAAAAAAGACTGTAAAATGATTGCATCTCTTGGTTCCTCTAAGCCAGAAGACTGTGTATTCACTCTTTAATGAAACAGCTGCTTACACTGCAGCATAGATAAACCACTTCATTACCAGAGTACTCTGGCTTAATTTCAAAAAAAAAAAAATGTTTTCCAGATTTTGATTTCTCATAACAATTTGAGATAGAAAATAATTTCCAGATCTAAAAATACATCTTGACAGATGAACTATTTTCCTGTACATCTTGAGCAGACAATGCTTTTTTATTCTTCCTTGTGGATTTGTGGAAGAGTAATTACAAAAGCTGAAGTTATGCCAAAAGAAATGTTCTTTTTTTTTTCTTTCTTTTTCCCAACGAGATTATGGTTGTAATAAAATACACTTGTGTTGCAGGAAGACTTCGAATGTCTGTAACTTTAATGTATAATAGCAGCATCAAAAGACTCACTTGGCAAACCTTAGTAATTTTGGTATTTTGATGAAAATAAAATTTATATTTCTCCCAGGTACAGTTTGAACTAATCTCCASCTTCTCCGAAAAAAGGAAAATGAAATTTTGCAGAAGGTGTTAYGTACTGAAAACAGCTGTTTCATTTTCTGTTGTCACTGGTGCGTGAGGCCATTATGTAACCCCCTCCCATACACAGTCATTGMACTGAACGCAATATTAGCATTTGACTGTTATCAGATACAAAAGGTAACATGGAAAACCACACAGTGTAGGCATCCTAATGCTTCTCATCTGCATGTATAGCTTCAGTTTATCCCATTACAAAATGCCYATTATTGTGTTCCTCAGACTTGCTAGGGTGCTGAAGCCTTGTATAAAAGATATAAAAATGTTTCCTTCCATTGAAAGCACAAGAACGAGTCCATGGGCCTGTAAGTCCATGCCCGTAGACCAAAAGGATTGGTGTGCTGTGGTGAGACGATGCTTTTGTATTTGACAGGAAATGGTTGACCTGAAAGCATGAGTGCCAGGGGGAGTGAGATCTGTCTTAACTTTAGCTTTTAAGGGCATTTTAATACTTTCAGCCAAGATCGCAGCCATGTGATCCACTACAGTCTTCACCTCTGGAATGAAGTCATTATAGACCAATAGCTCCAAGTATCATCTTCTTTTCTCATCAGAGTTTGGTATAGTATGATCTCCTGTATGCAGTGGCACTTGCAATATTCAGGTTTTCCCTTGGCACGCCTCTCTTYGGTCCTCCTGTAAGCACATGGAAACATCTGGCCTGATAGACCTTCTCTATGTGTAGTGTGATATAACCATCATGCCAGCAGGATGTTTCTACTCTGGACACTTAATGGCATGTCTGTAAGTGAGTGTTGCATTATCTCAACTCTCCTGCTTCAGTAACCTCCCTTTAAATGCAGTGTAGTCAACCCACTTCTGATAGGCACTGCCTTTTTCACTGCCCTGACTGCCCTTTCTCTTGAGCAGAATCTTTTGTACTGATTTAATGCTTACTGCATGAACCTGCACAAATACACTCAGTCATGCTGAAGGGATGGTGCTTTGGTGCACAGTCATCTGTGCTGACTACAAATTTCTCCCTATATTGGGAACTGCAAAGTAAGATGCACTTCCTCTTTGCAGCAAAAAAGTTCAAATCCTTTGATGGTGAAATGCAATTTCTCTCTGAAAGCTACAGAAAAAAAAGCAGTTTGGAATTAGCTATAGGCATTCCTTCTGTATGATTTGAAGAGACATGAAGGCTCTGGGGCATATTGATTAATTTTCCTTGTCTGGAACATATTTGCTGTTCCTAACAGCTCTGCTTGTGTAYGAGGACAGTTACATCTTCTTTGCTTTCTGTAACACAGTGACCAAATGGAAAAGGGTTGTCTGTTCCCCCAGCAGGTTTTTAAAGTCCTAGAAACCACATCCTCCTTCAGGAGGAAGTCTGTTTGGAGACAGATTATCAAAAYTCAGCAGGATCAGGCAGAAAGGGCTGGGACATCCCTGAAGCTGGAAATCTTCTTGCTAGCATTAGCTGAGTTTGCTGCTTCTTTCTCTGGAAAAGTGGTTTGAATGTGGTGGTCATTGATTAGCATTTCCTAAAGATAGTTTTCAATGCAGAATACTGGCTCCAGAGAATTCTGCCCAGTCACTGATATTGTTCTTTCTTTGTTGGTACCCTGTATCTTCAGAGTGAGYGGCTGGAAAACTGAAGAGTAGCATATGTGTTGGGACAAGCTTTGAGAGTAGCCTGGCTAAGCACTGTGGGCTGGGGAAGCACCCTGGCCTCAGGCTTTATATCCTTAGCAACCTCACCCAGACTCCAAWGTACCCTCTCGTTTCCCTGCAAAAATTCAAATGACAATTTCATAAGAACATTATATTTTGTGACACCTTATCTTAGTCTGTTCCTGTCATTCCTGTCTGGCAAGGTATTTCCTCTCCTTCTYCTTCTAAAGGTATTTCCTCCACCTCATGGTCATTTTCAGTGGAAATAATTTTTGGCTTTCTGTCATCCAGAAATTTCATAAGGACATGCCTGACTCTGAAGAACAGTTTTATTTGTCCTGATGGCAGGTCCATTTAGCTGAGTACCATGGCTGTGGGAATAGCCAAGAGCAAGAGAGAGCAGGAGGAAAGAGCTGAGCTATCTGAGGCTTAGGAACTTACATTATTAAGAGTTTTCTAAGYTCTGAACAAATAGTTATTTGTTTATGAAGTTCTTGAAATGCTATGAAACTTGCAGCATGTGTAAGAATTGGCTCTGTGTTAGGCCTTGGGAACCTCACACAGAAAATGACTCTGTGGGATAAACCAGTATACTGTCCCCTGTATCCAGTTCTTCATCCAGTCCATACTGCTTGCATTAATATCCACAAAATATTTTTATGGGATGCGCTGTGTGCTCCACTTGACCTATGTGGGTTACGTCCATGAAATTATTCTTGTTTTTAATACTTCCTTTTAATAAAATAATTCAGTATGTTTGTTCGCTTGTTTTTGATTGTTTCTTTTTTTGTTTTACTGAGGTGCAACATGTTTGTATTATAATTTGATCTAGCTCAACGTTTTGATCATTTCTCAAGACTTCTTGTAATATTAAGGTCAAATTGCAGTTGTTTGATTCAACTCTTTTATCTTCTGAGTAGTGAAAGCTCATTTTTTCCTTTCCAAAATATAAATTTTCAGCTATAGGATACCAAAACCTCAGTATTATTAACAGCAGATGAAAAAGAAGGATCCAGTAGAGGGATTGGTTTTCATTTAATTATTGCTTGAGAAAAGTCTAAGGTACTCTGGTGCCACTATTAGAAACCTAGAACTAGATTCCTCCCATTCTGCCCTCTGCTAAATGGACAGTCTTTGAGGTGAGGCTGTGCTGTCTCTCTCCATCCTTTCCCCCAGGGGAGAGATACCTATTAGCAAGAGGACAGCTTGTTTAGCAACTTTCTCCCAGACTAAAGGG